GCAAGAAACCTATGATTGTGGGTTCGAATCCCGGTTCGCCCCGATTATGTTTCTAGTTTTGTCAGCACCATACCCGTGCTCGTGGGTTTCACCGAAGTGGTAAACGTCTGAGACCTGCATCACTTCGGGATTTCCTCCCACATTAAGCTGACACGCCGTGATATAACTGGAATACTGTTAAAAGCGGCGTTAAACACAACTCACTCACTCACTCTTGAGCACTCTGAGTACTTAATCTCTACACGAGTTGGATATCATACTAAGCCCCATATACTAAATACTATTAAGTCTGTGGTGTGATACTATTTAAAGGATGTTCTAAACCCTTGTAGGGAGCCGCGTAGAGAAAACAAATATGAATAGACACGAAGTTTTAAAGTCAAAATCCCAGTTATCAAAGACTAGGTATTTAGTCCAATACTGCTCTTTGTAATTTTGAGGTTCATTTCAGAATATGTAATGGATAATAATGAACAGAATACTTGAATTATCATGAGTTCACTGAAAAAAGTTTAAAGATTTAAAATGTCGATTGGATCCGCGCGCCTTGTATTTAGGTGCACCGAGTACCAATGTTAAACCGCTTATATGACATACTGGAAATACAATGATATCCAGGTCATTTGTGCTATCGTCCGGACATGTGCCGTCCATCTGTATATCCCTGTGAGTGGGATTGTTTAAAGTAACAGAGGGCAATTCGTTTGTTAATATTTCAGCCAAATAACCTGACGCTTTGTCAAGTTGATAAGGCCAGGAACTCGTGGAGTTTGTGCAATGTAGACGCTTTGTCATAGACAATGTTATACTGGAGGACTCGGTTTTCTGAATAAACATCAACAAATGATATGCTTTCAAAAAGAGGGGAGAAATGTCAAATTTATCATTTAAGCATAGAAACGATGCCTGATATCCGGCCTTCTGTCGGATAGGCAGGAAAGGGTAGGCTTTCTTTTGATGATATTGTATTTTTACAACACTGAATCTGAAAGAGGTTTGTACTTAATTTAAGGCTAAAATTACTGTCATATCTTTCCTGAAACTACAATAAATAAATTCACATTACAAAAGTTTGAAATTTATTCTCTGACGTTTTGAAGTCATGAGATGACTATTTGGATGAGATGCGCTCTATAAATTTATTATTATAATTTTGTTTTACAATATGTGACGTGTTTGAAAGTAACCTGTATCTGATTTTGATATGATTTGTATTAGAAAACAAATGCATCACCTGAAAGTTAAACAGATTATTATTTATTAACATGCGAACATATGTTTTTACAAAATATTAAGAAATAGAGAAAACAGTTTTCATAACCAAAAACATTCATATTTAACTGTAACAAAGACGTTCATGATAAAACGTTGAATGTTGTCAATGTCATTTGCATAATTATGAGAACGTACACCATAACTCTATCAGTTTGATCCTCAGAGATGTACCAGCAAATAAATATATTTGACCGACATTTAAAACATCATAGGCCTCAATCGTTTCTGGTAAACGTTTTGTTTTCAAAACAAAGAAGTATATATAAAACATGACTCAAGAACACCACTAACAGTGAGACTGAAGCAGAGCTGCTACTGACGCATTTGACTCAATGTCGAGGGACTCGCATTATTGGTATTGATTTCGTAGTTTAACACGCCACACTCGAGTGCTTTACTAGTATATAAAAACGGTCATATTTTAAAACGATATAGTTTAACCTTAATGTTACATTTGTCTCAAAATACAAGATAATTACTGCTTTTGATTTAATCACTTCGGAATTAAACCATTAACTACATCGTGTATAAAAAATACTATAAAACAACATTTCTTTGAACTCAACCGTGAGTGGTATTTTAACGAGACACGGGCTTAATGTCCTTGTGTATTTACATCAAACTCTAAAACGGGGAACTTGTTTTAAACAATCCGACGAAATCGCACGTCCAATTCATTACGAAATATACGTACGTCCCTACAAGAAAAGCAGTGTTCCTTTGCTATACATTTAATTGTATTCCAAGAACGCTAGCTAGTGGAATCATCTGGTATTTCGGCAAAGCTTGGATTCATTGCCACTATTTCGAGTGTCGGAAAATCCTCTATTCTTTAGCAGGGGCGACGAAAATGTCTTTGAAGAGAATGGGTTGTTTGGTAAACTGTTAAAATAATCAAAGCTAGCTCAACCATTATCCTCTATCTGTCTTAAGACCACTTAACAGTTAAATACGGGAACATCGGTGTTGACAAGTCTGGCTTAGAGGTGGGAGGAGTATATCAGGCTGTGTATTCAACTATGTATAACAGTACAAGCAGGTTAGCGCATGTTAGCTCACCTTGGCACCATTAACGCTGATCAATCGTGGTACCTGCCAGTTCATGTGTTCCACAGCTCTGGAATATTCTTAATCTCTCGGACATATTTCTCTTTGACACGTTTGAGAGGATACTCTTCAGCTGAGGAAAACATTTTATGGTATTTCCAACTTCTTTGACGCGGAACAATTTATTACATTTAAATCTAAAATCGTAGGAAAATTAACCTTGGCTGACTCATATACTTACATATTAAATAAGATATAACAATTTTGATTTTTTCAATAAGTAATATATATAATTATTCATTATCATGTATTAATTTATGATGATAAATAAAATAAGGAAGTGTTACACATAATGAATATTTTTTTACATTCTTTCAGTTTGTATGTTTATTTGTAAAAAAGAGTTATTGAATTCGACTCTTTTATCTACGTTATATTTTCAGAGTTTTAATGGCTTCTTTGTTTATTTGTAAACAGTTTCCATATTAAGTTATATTTAACTACTTTTCTTCATCCAATTATTTGTGGTTTTGTTTATTACAGATGTTCAGAATTGTTTTGTACTTTTGGCTTTTAAAATTCGTTCTGTTCTGATTCAAACATTATATGTCCATACTTCATATAATTACATATACTTTCCATAAATCCTAATTGTACAAGTTACCATATTTATATAGTACGTTGTCAACAACTTGAGCGGACACTTATGAGATACTGCTAATATATGAAAGCCAATTTGCACTGTGTTGAAGTTATTATGCTCCCTATTTCTCTAGATTGTGTAAACTGTGACAGAGATACGTATATTTCTTTGGTGTTGTTATTTCAGTTTGAAACGATTAATGTGAGGCACTATACGCATTGGCGTGTTACAGATTGGAAAATTAGACATTTCAAGTAAACGCAAACCATATATGGACAGTGGATAGACACAGATGCAATAGAAGTAGCTATCGACTTCTCGCATTAGTTGTTTTGCTAACACCTGGTCTCATCGCTATTTGATAATGATCACTCATGGTAGTCGGAATCGTACAATGGACTATGCTTTTAGCAGATATTTTGTGTGTGGCCGTAGAAAGGGTTTTGTCGCTTTTGTTTGTAAAGTGGGGGAATGGTCAACTGAAAATCTCCCACCAAATGTTGTCACTCCAACATAACACATTTGGTTTATCCCATATAGACCTGTCGATGAGCTAAGTGTAAAGTGCATACGTGGACCCCTCTTCACCCGACAAGCACATATGATAATATCTAATATTTGTCGTTTTCTTTATATATAGTCAAGGTAAGAAACTAATTATAAAGCATAACACAATATAAGAACAGTACCCCTATAAACAATAACAAACTGATCACGTACTGTGCGTCAACTATTTCACGTCTTTGATTGACATTTAGAATAATGAATACATGACGATGTTTCTATGGATAAAGAAGTTGTCAAATATTACACCCTGATATAATGAAAACGTTCAAATTTTGTCTAATACTACCAGTACGCATAACAGTATAAACTATATACTTATTCAATCCCCAATCATACAACGTATTCCCGATATCCATTATCATTCTATAATTCCTATTCGTAAAGCACCAACGCTGCGACACGCAATTAACTTTTAAAATGCCTTCTACAATTGACAACATGATGTGTTGGTGGAAATCATCTCGAGGTCGATAGGTTTTGATTGTCTATACGTATGTCAGTTATATATATTATACCTGTTCTTCACATCTGCACTTGAATCTTACTTCATCAGCGGGAAAAGGAATCTTTACATATATGTCGACACACAAAGTGCAATAGCTACTTGAAGTTGCCGACCGAAGATGACGCTAGCTAAGATCCCGGTCCCTGCGCATGGTGTTAGGGACGTTGACGACGGCGGGTGCTACGGCCACAATACAATCTGACAACAATGCAGCATCGATCCGGCTCCAAATGAGCAACGCTCAATCTCAGTACACAGAACAAAGGCTTGTCCGCACTGATTTCTCTCCCGCTCCCCACTATAGCGCTGCCGTTCGTGTTGATGACACCTTGAGAACATGATTGCTTGTTGTGTTTTAGTGTCGTTTGTATATATTTTTTTAAACCATACTATCATTATTTATATTGTTATTATTTGCATTTCAAGGATACAAACTGTTTAGGATTTTGGAGAAAGATTGATCAAATATTTCTTTACGTGTATCAATTAGTTTCTGTTTTTAAAACTCATGGCAGAATCATAATAATTAATCTTAAACTAAACACAGACAAGGTGAAAATACACATAGAGTTTTTAACTATTATAATAATTGTGGGCATGTTTTAATTCATACCGAAGCCATTTTAATGAATACATTGTAGCTATGGACTGCGATAGTTCGTGTTTCATTTCTCGTTCACGTGCATTTACGCCCTGCTTTTGTCGAGCCTGCATGTACCGTTATCAAGTGTATCGTGCCAAACACAGGGCAGTTACAGAACCATACGCTTCATTCCTTTTCTACCATGGGAATGACGTAATACAATCACGTGTCGTCGCGATTTCATCCCAGGTAGAGATGTGCGCCGTCGATCAAAGCTAGCCACGCCTACTGCGGTCCCGCCTCGTCCAATGAGAGCGGGCTGGGATGAAGATGCAACATTGGCAAGTTGCGAGAGTTGGACACTCTAAACACTATTATCACGGAGTTTGGATGACATGTGGTTCAGATATCTACACTGGCGTTTGTACTGAAACCTCGGATTATATCTCCATGTCTTTGTCATAGCCTGGGATTTTATCAAATAAGCACAGGTAGGTCAATGTTTTATAACACCAAAGTTCTATCATATCCGAATGCAAAATGCATACTTTTAACGTCATCATGGTGACAATGCATCTACACACATGGAAGCGTATGTTTTAGTGTACACTTATGCAATTTAGCTATTTACCTTAATAATTCTGTATTAATGTGAAGTACACAGAGTGTAGAAAAAATATACACATTTAAAGTTATGTTCTATATTCATATATCATACTTTGAGTTTCTTTCTCTTTTGGCCTTATAGCTTGTAAATATCATGCATAAGTTAACCTACTTTCGCAAAGCCCTGTTATCAGCAACTAACGTTCCTTATTTTCAGAAGGCATCTGAAAGGGTGACAATATATATATTTATGCTTATATACGTACATTAAAGGACAGGAGCGATTTAGTTTATTAAAAGTAATAACGTGATAACATATTTTTTCCATTGCATATGGACGTGCAACTTATCTTATAAAAAAAGAATTTAGATTTCGGTAGTTAAAAATATTCAATAGAACGTTTAATGTTTGGCGATTGTTATTAACATTTGGCATGTACTTCGCATTTACATGATGTACGCAGTAAGTAAACAGTAAGTAAGAAGGAACTATATTATAACCTATGTAAGGTATGTGTCGTCTCTTAAAGGATGAATCTGTAGATCTGTTATCAGTGTCAACAATAAAATACGTAAAGGAATGTATTCCACTTATGCCTTTATTCATTTACTTTGTATACATGTAAGAAATAAAACAGTTTTCATAAATGTGCTTGGTTTGAGAGGACCATTTTAACGAATTCCTAAACCATACAAACATATGAGAATAAATATGTTATTTCAACATACTGAACAATAGCATTATACATAATATTACCTTTTAACAACCAAATTATAATATCACTGAACGATCCACGAAGGTGTTCTTATGCAAAGCTTGTTATTTGGTTGATAATTAAAATGTTATATGACATCCTTGTCATATTACATAGACGAAGGAATAACTACTTTATGGCATGGAACACGGTTTTTGCCATCTTTGCAGGGTAGTTGAATATGCCCTCTTCATCCGACTCATTAAAGGATGTGAGACAGTATCAATGATTGTAGATAAATGAAATGTGGGGATGTAAGTCCAAGGATTTACATTGCTAACAACAACATATAAGCGTTATAAGGCCTCAGGAAAAATTTCAAAAGGTTTTATTGTAGACATGTGGAGGACATTCCCAAATCTGACGCATCAGTGACAAAAATGATGTCAGATACAATTCCCTATCTTGACTTGTACCTAATGTTCCCGTGTTTTTAAGGTGAATAGTTGACTTGCCTTTGCATGTGTTTGTGGCGGTACCACCGTTGGGACAGGATACGCTCACCTTTTTGCGAATACCTGATGTCATCACTATTTGATGGGGATTCATAAACACATGGTCGTGATATAGTCGGAATCGTACAATCAACTCTGCTTCTGGCAGTGATGTCGTATGAACATTGAAAGGTTTTTTCGTTTTTATTCACATCTAACAATAATACGCAGTAACACACGCAGTAACACACACACACACACACACACACACACACACACACACACACACACACACACACGTTTGATACACATAAATATGCAAAAGTAAATATGGTTCTGCGTATGCATGAACGAACTACCCATTGACACATTTTTCGCTACTTTAATATGGAAAATGCTTTTCAAATAGTTTGATATAATATTGTCATTTAAAAAATATAGTATGCATTAATAACATAATATAGACATAACACACGACTAGTGTAAAATAAATATAGCGGAATTATACGATCATACATCAAAATATGAGCAGCTATTCATTCTAACACACATTTATGATTATGTCATGTTTATAATAAATATACAATGTATTGCTGCTGTTTGATATCTATGTAATGTAATAACTTTATTGGACGAACAATGCAGACCTTACTGATTCTTTTTCTCTACAGTGTATATTTGCTTAGTGTAGCATTGATCTTATGTGAAACAAACATTTCTTCAGATATTAACATTGAATTATCTACCTAAGATTCCAAAAGAACACGCATGTTGGGTGACATTAAAAAATACAAGGTTAATGGGGGAATGATACAAAGAAGGGTTTTCTGCGCGGAGTAATACTACTGGCTATGTTAAACACATGTGAAAACTGCATATTTCTGTTTAACTCGGTTTGAAGACAATTAAAAAATATATATATGCGTAAAAAGTACGTGCTATAATGAAAAGGTCGTTAAATGAATAATAATACAATGTAAACATGTATTCATCGAACATATGTTATAACATGTCGCAATTCTGGTGAAAGACCATTTGCATGTAAGAGACATGTTGAATAAAATATGACCATACATAACAACAAACAACTATCTACACTATCGGGATGTTTGGGAGGAAAATATGATGGGAACAGACAGATCATAATTGCTAGGACAGTGTAAACAGACACAGACTATCTGAATAGCAATCAGGAATTTATATCACGTCTTGTTCCAACACTATGATCACCAGCGCGTGGCAAGCTTGTTAGAAACTATGACTGTTTGTAGATGCGAGTTAATTTTTATTAAATAAAATATGTCATATAAAATACCCTAAGCATCTTTAGAGACACAGAGATGTGTCCCTAAAAAATAAGAGAAAAAGTAAACAGTATTTATATTTCGAAATATCCTAAACATTCCACACCGAAACAAAACAATGATGATATTTAAAGTATTAAACGTGCATAAAAGTCACAAAAATGCTTTCAAAGTACAACATGTTAATTAAATCTAGCTGATATATATTTAATTTGCACTGACTGTGTGAAACACTTTTTCGGTTATAAGTTTGTATAAGGAGATACCCATCGGTATTTTCCTCTTTCAATCCAGTTGTAAACGAACAAGGGAATATCATCATGAACATATTGTTCGGTATATCTCCACATTTACCCCCCTCATTAAGTGACACCCTGTAGCTAACCCACAGCTACTTAGGCCTTCATATTTGTAATAAATACCATATAAAATATTATCATTTACAAATATTAGTTTTATGAAGGATACTATCAACTAATATCCCTCACTGAAGCATGCGACCCCGCTATTAACACCGTTTAACATCGAACGTGGGAAGGACCCTGGGACTCGTTCATTTATACACTAAACTAATATTTGTTTAGTGCTGAATCCTATCAGAACCCGTGTGTTATTTGTATGAGATGTTGCCAGATAAAGTGTTTGATAATGACTTTATGCTTCCCTATAAGTTATTACTGTAGATGGTATCGGATAGGCACGTGTTAATGATATGAGAGCGTCCTGAATTCACAGTATGGTACGTTTTAACTTATACAACAATATATGGCAGCATGCTTTTACTGGAAACTAGGTATAATCTCAACATTATGAGCGATTGTATTAAAGAATATATTAAAGACTTTCAACTGGTCTTATATTTACTGAAAATATGAATATCAACATTAAAATATAAACAAATGTGTTTATTTACAATTCTGTATTATTTATGTATAACGTGATACCTTTTTTAAATCTTCATATAATTGCTTGATCAGGGTACTATCATCTGAGCAGAAACGTGACATTGGAAGAATAAAGAAGCTGACATCCAGAGGTCGACTCATTCAATCATTCATGTTCTGATATGATATGAAATAATACTGATATCTCAAGTATGATCAGAACTGTTTTACCACCAGCACATAATGCATTAATGCATACATGCTCTGGCAGTGGTGATATATCTGTAACATGTGCATGCTAAGAGCATTGAGAAAGATAGGAAAGACAGCCAGGAGATAAACAAGCAATTCCGTCTTGTAAAAGCTCTGCCACCTTGATCATGTCCTTCGCGCGTGTTGTCTTCAGAAGCGTTCAAAGCTTGTTACACATGCGATGGCCATTTCATATCAGCGTGTTATATTTGAATGGCTAAAGCCGCAAAACACGTGGTCTTATGTTTACAATGATGTCATCGGATGTCGTGTGCCAGATGGGTCACAATCTCTAGGACCTGCTGAAGCGATGCAAACTACCGAACTTATCATCAGTTTAATTACTGTTCAATATTTTGAATATGAACAAACCAATTTGAAACATACATTATACTTGCTATAATATATAAATAAATAACTCTTCAAGCAATACTAGGTTAATTGAGGTATTCGAGATATGAAGATGTTTATTCTTTATTACATTGTTTAAGTACACACAAAATGACTCTGAAAGTTCTCATGGAGTGCCAGTATAACACTAATTTACTGTGGTAGTCGGAATCAGAGATTCTTTTTCTGGAAAAGGGTTCTGAATAATTCTATTCGCATTATCATCATAACTATATAGGAATTTACAGGGAGAACTATATACAAATATATATTCATATACTACGGTTTTCACTTGATAAAAAATATGCTTTTTATCTGTTTATTTTGTATTACCAGTATATTTTTCAAAACAGTCAATGGATACGACACAATGGATATGTTCAACAACATGCACAGCAAATGTTTCAAATCAACTTTGAATATCTCTACCTCTACTCTGGAAATTTCTAGAACTGTGAAATACATTTCAACCGCACTTAGATACAAATACGCCGAAACAGGTGCTTTAACGCAGTTTTACAATGTTTAATATGGCTGCAAGTAATCAGATGGCAATTTATTAATTGTGTTTTATTGACAATATGGATCTCTTTCGATCCAATTTTCGTATATCGTATATATTTATTTATTGTGTAGTTAACAGTTGGAATCTGTAAACACAATATTGTCAATTGAGTGTATCACAAGCCCTTACACGTTTGTCCGGGGTTTATTAATGCTGTGTTTCTGTGTGTGCTATCTCCTTGACACACATCACTTGCCATGTGTTATCTTACAACACGTCACGATGGAAATTGAGGGTAATAACAGTAGTTCGTTGGATTAATTTCATCCCAAATGAAACCTCTTTGTAAGGTTGTACGTAT